TTTCTTTCTGAGATTTTATATTTTTCCAAGCCACTCTTATTTAGCCTAATTAAAAGAAGCCTTTCAACATTTCTTAATAAATGGTTGATCGTAATTTAACGGGAATCCACTTTTAAACCTTAAGTTCTCTCTTGTCCTGTGGCATTAAATGCGCGTGTGGAAATAGTAACAGCTTGTCCCTATGAAACGGCGCTTGTTGGGCGGCGTGATCCTAGGAACCTGACACTCTCTCTCCTACGTGATCATCGCACGCCTCAACTGTCATCCATCTGTCACTCAACAACCCGGTTCAAATTTCCATAAGAGATTTGAAACGATTTTTCTCTCTCCTATCACCCACTATAAATAGCCCACTACACCACCTTTTACCTCTTTACCACCTTCAAAATTTCCAAAGCGCAAATACTCCTAAACAGTTTCCTGTTCATCATCTTCTTCATACCTGCAAAAATGGCTGATTCCTCTTCTGTTCATGCTACCTCACAGATCCTTCCCATTCGCCCACAACAATGTCTGGTCATTGATCTTAACCCACTGGCGTACAACTCCTATATGTCGCCGGTCATAGAATGTTTGAAGTATTCCCAACTTGTTCCGGCTTTCTCCAGAATTGAATCTGTGCCGATGGTGGCCCTATCGCAGGTTTACGCGACTGCATACTACGACAAGGCCGTCGACCAGGTGTTTTTCGAGATTGCAGAACACAAAACCTCAGTCTCTCGCCAACGTTTCTGCACCTTGCTAGGGTTTGCTGTTGACCCTTCAAGAGTTCATCCGGAGTCGATTCAGATTGGTCATCTGTATAACATGTTTTACAACATGGGATACACAGAAGTTCTTACCTCTGTCGCTAAGTTCAAAAAATCATGCCTGCCGCCACAGTGGAATGGCCTATTTACAGTCCTCTTCAAGGGCTTGTCGGAAAGAAGCTCAGGATCAGACGGTGCAAGTCGTCTCTTCCTAACCATAATGTACGGGGTTTACAACGGGATTAACCTGGACTATGGGTTCGTCCTATGGCAACAGCTTATTCAAAGCCTCTCCTCATCATCCCGACACTCTGAGGTGTCGTTGGCCCGATTCTGGATCCTGA